GACATATTTGTATCTGATGTTTTATATAAACATAGAATATCTAAATAACCATTTGCAAAAATCCAGAGAGAACCTTGACGAGGTTTAATAGCAGCCCGTGAATGAAAAATAGTTTAGTTTTGCCCACACTAGTTTCAGAAACATCAGAATATTTTATTACCAGAGTTAAACTTCCAAAAATGCTGCCTTTTAAACGTAAACATTATACAGTTAGCAGGAAGCATCCCATTTTATACTGGTCACTACATGATCTACAGTTACAGAGTTATATTAGTTTCTTAGGAAACATCCCAATTAAGCAAATTTCTTGATTGAATGGTGTGTATTATATATACTAGCGTGAAATTCCACAGGATGGGCAGAAAGATCTACTAATGTCTGAGTCAATCACTTCATTGCCTTCAGCTGAGTCTTCTTTCTTGTCTTTTCCTTGCTGTTGTGATGCAGAGACTGAGAGATTGACACACTATGCTATTCTTTTTTGGCCCTCTATATTTTTTTCTGTGCTTTCCTGCATTCAGAGAGGGACTGATTAGCTCAGTTTTATGGTAACAGGTAGCAAAATGCCAGGTATTATGTTGTTTTCTTCAAGTCCTGTCAGTATATTTTACCTGCCATTTCATGTAATACTAAAGGCAAGCGACTATATTATCACAAATTTTCTGTGACTGGCAACTGTTATTGGCATCATATATCTAGGAACAGCTGTTGTTGTTTTATTAGAAAATACTCCAGTGATGCTTAGTGTAGAAGGAGCCAAGACAATATCAGCAGTTCTGTTGCCTCTGCAATTAGTATTGTGTAGAATTTGCTAACCTGTATTAAAAATTTACTTTTTCTAATCGACCATTTTAATTTTTTAGAGGAAATGCAGGCCTTACAGAATATTCAGAGAGATCATCTGCAAAATGAATTGCCTTAAACCCACTCCCTCCGAATATTTCTGCCAATTACCAAATTTAAAAAAAATTAAAAATAAAAATAAAAATGTAGTAGAGGCATTATCTGGGAACCCTCCAGAAAGTCTTCATTAGGAACATGAAAAAGGCTCAGTTGTGCATTCATCCACTAGAATAGTTAAAAATTTCTGTCCCACCATTTTGTATCAGAAAATGAAAAATCTGACTGCTGTGATCTACTTTGGTATGATTATCTGTTAGAAATCCAAAGATAGAAATGCAACAGTACTGTGAATGCATTTGATTTCAAAATTATTTTTTCATATTTATGTTTTATTACTTTTATAAAATTGTTAGTTCCAATTATTGATATACATTTTTAGATTATAGTTTCTAAATAACTGTCATTAGTGAATCACATACAAACTTTTAGGACAATTCATTTCTGCGTATAGTGATAGTTGTAAGAATATTTATTAATTAATAACTGCAAATAAAAAGGTTTTATCTAGTAAGAGGAGAAACAGAAATTGGAGGGAGTGTCAATGTTCTCAGTCATATTACTGGGACTGGTTGTTATGCACTGCAGCTGAGAACAAAAATAATGATTTGTGAATGTAAAATTGGTGGCAGGCAATGGTAGAATCCTTTGTTTTTATCCTTTCAATCTAGGAAAAAGGGAAGCAGTTTGTAATTTGTTTGTAAGACTGGAAAGTTGCTGCTGGCAGTGAGGGTAACTATGTTATTCCCTGGTGCTTTTGAATAACAGCATGAAAATTCCCAGTATGATTTCTCTCAGTGTATGAGCAGAGGTTCTTGGCAGCAACTGAGCTAATTTTCTTCGACTGCAACTATTAGAGTACACGTGTCTAAGAACAAGGAAGAGTTGGACTTGAACTTGGCAACATCCTTATCCCAATATGATCTTAGCCATTCCTAACATATCTATCTTGGGTACAGGAACTTTGTAATCTATACATGACCTGGAAGCTTCATTACGTTATGTATTAATGAACCATTTAGTCTTTTTATAGCTGGTTGAATGTTAGCTGGATAATTAGTTCTCTAGCAGTTACCTGCAAGACGATCAATACATGTTTAGCATATTAAGCACCAACAAAGAGAGACTGGTTTTGTGGGCATATCCTTTAAATTATTAACTGAAACAGCAGAATAATAATGGGTTTTTTTATATCTGTAGAAACTAGTTTCTTTTTGGTACAGCTATATATGCTCCTTCATAACTAGTCTACCTCTTCAGTATTGCTCTTAAACATACAGAAGTCCACAAGTTAGAAGGTACAAAAAGAGCCCCTTCTTTTTTTCACCCCTCTAATAATTGTCACAAGCTCTCAAGTCTAGGAAAGGGACTTACTGAATGTGATTGGCAAAGTTCTGTGATTTGATACACTGCTAGAATTGTGTGTCTGATGGATTTCCAAGGTAAAACCTGTGCACACAAAGGGTTATGCCCAAATTTCCCTGGAAATCCTTTGGCCATACTGCTGCAGTCCCAGGCAGTAACTTCATTTTGAGGTTCTTTTCTTGAGTCTTTCTGTCCCCATGACAAATCCAGATTCTTTTAGCATTCAAACTGATGAAAGGATCGACCTAACATCAATAACACCAAATCTCAGTATTTAGTCTTAAAATGTAGGCTTGAAAGAAATGTCAGAGTTCATTGAGGCTAATGTTTTCAAACTGTCAGCTTTTTCCTTGAAATGGCATAATTTTGAATTCTTAAGAAAATCTTTGATCATTGTATATCAAATTAGCTTGCAATACCGGTTATAATCTCTTTACATGGATATTCTTTACTCCTGGCTGTGAGAAGTCTCTGAAATATATCAATACAAATGTATAGGCATCTATTTATTTATATATATATAGATACGTATACGTACACAAGAAGAAAGAACTGTAGATTTTCACTTTTTAAATGCTTTTCTGGAGCATCAAGACTTCCCTCTACTTGTCATATTTCTTATTGCAGAAACAAATGAGCTGATGGCTTATGCTCTGAGTATCTGGTGAATATTCATAATTCTGTCTTATTCACTGGAACTTACTGAGAAAAGACCTTAAAATAAAACACGTTTTCATCTGCATCCTTGGGTTGTTACACCTAAGCAGCATTTCATGTAATGGTAAGTAGGCTGAAAGGCAACCCTATATTTTCTCTCTTTTACTTCATGCACTGACGAGGGAATCTTTGGAGGATGGTTTGACATGAATTCTATTTCATGTGAAATTGTCTGGACCCTAAGAGAATGAAAGGGAAGGTGTGTCTTTTCCTTCCTTTTTTCCCTCCTTTTTCTCCCCTCCACCTTACTAATGTAACTATCTCCGTTACAGGGAGATTTAAAATTTACTTCTGCCATAGTGCAGTAAAACAGTGAAAGCATCTGGATAAAAGCAGCTCATCCCCCTGATTATTAGATCTGAATCTGGAGCTTTGCACAACCTAACAGAAGTTGCATGAGAGAGAACATTCTGAAGACTGTGTATTAAAGCATTGATTCAGTTGCAAGCCAGAGGATGTATAAATAGCAAATTGAAACAGCTTCTATTTCATTCCCTCCAAGAGTTTACATCCCCCAAATTCAAACAACTGGCTGCTTTTGCCTTCAGTCCCTTGCCCTGCTAGAGAAATCGTTTTTAGTGTATATTGCTGAGCAGCTCAGAGTGATTTTGTTTGAAAAGTTCTCAAAATCCAGTCATCTCGGTGAGCAGTGTTGTTCTTTCCATCCAGTCTGGTGTAACAGCTTCCCTCCTGGTTACGTTAAATTGTAGAATTACTCTTTTCAGCTCTCCTTTTCAAATCTAGATCATTTGTACATGGGGTACCTATCGTTTATACTTCAGATGCTGCTTCTAACCTTTAATACATAAAAAAAAAAAAAAAGGTAGGAGCTTTCTTTTCTTCCATCCTGCCATTTCCTACCAGAGCTTTGGGACTTACACATGCTCTGGTTTCATTGCTTACTCCAGGGTACACATTCTGCTGGCTGGAAGCAAGGTTCCTTTGCACCAGCGTGGTATGTGCCACGGCTTTCACTTGCATGTTAATTGCATTTTTAATACACTGCCTTAGCAGGTTGGATAAGCAGAGTCTGACACGATTGCCTCATTGCTGAAACCCTGAATCAGGAAAATGCCATTAGTCTTAATTCCAATAAGGTGTGTTCAGAGTAAAGATGTTACACAAGGTCCAGATTTTTGAATGACTTCTGCATCAGCCAGCCTGCCTTGATCCAGACCAGCCTGAAAGGGCACAAATTAGCCACCAACTTACAACCAATGGTGTAGTAATATGAATATAGGGGTGTTAGAGGGCAAGAAATCCTCAAAGGAGTGGGGCTGATCTGGAAGGGGCTGGCTTGCCAATGTGGCACCTCCTGTGCCCCATCAGGATTGGAAGGAGGCATTAAAGGGCACCATTCAATCTGAATCTTACAGCCACCGCCGGACCATGTGGACAGCTGATGAACGAGCCGGCAGTGGAATGTTTAGCAGGCTGTGACGACTTTGCACAGAAATAGGAAAATTTATCACCAGCTTGCCACAGCAGTGCCGTACTGCCCGCTTTCGGTGGTTCGCCCCTTCCCTACACTCCCGCCCGCTCGGCAGCGCAGCCCACCCGGCCCCCGGCCCCCCTTCCCAGCACCGAATTTAGGGGCTCGCTGTCACCAAGCCGGAGCCGTCCTTCTTCTGCAGCTCAAGCACGAAAGGGGGGTTTTCGCAGCCGCCGCGCAGTTGCCGGACAAAGATGTTCCTGTGCCCGAACACAGCGGTTATATCGGTATGGGAGGATAGATGGGAGGACGAATGGACGGACGCCTGGATGGATGGATGATTAGACGGATGGATGATTAGATGGATGGATGGATCGTGCATCTGTCCGAGTGACGGGGCTGGCCGGGGTCTGCCATTACGCGCAGGAGGCTGCGTGCGGCCCCGAAGTACTGGAGAAGGGGAAAACAGGGCGGGGAGGGGAGAAGGACGGGGGCGGGCGGGGAGGCGAGGCGGGCGGGCGCGGAGCGGGGCGGGGGCGGGCGGCGCGGCCAATCGCCCGGGCTGCCGGCGCTGCAGGATCCGCGGCGCGGGGCTGGGGGCTCCGAGGGACGCGGAGCCGGGTGCCTCTCTGAGGACGGCGAGCAGCTGTGCCGCTAGCACTGCGTAAAGTCCCCATTTGCTTCTTATAAATTAGAGTGCCTTGTCACCAGTTAGGGCAAGTCAGCCAAGGTAAGGCTTAAATAAAATGACACTTTAATATGTGGCAACATGGATATTTCTGAACAGCGGTACTGCTAACACAGCCTTTTAAGCAGCGCAAAATATTTCGTGCAATAATGCTATCATAGCGGGTCCACAACCTGTAATTTGTCTGTGTTAAAGTTACCGCTGGTACGTAAGCCTTACCCTTGTGATGCTGTAGAAACGTGTTTGCTTATCCGAGGCAGTTGCGAAGGGACCTGCAAAATAGAAAGGTAGCGGCGCTCTGTATATGTGTTTGTGTGTGACCGTGTTTGCAATACCTACAGTTCTGCTCCTTAACTTATGGGGATAATGTGCAGATGCATTTTGATGGTGACAGCAGGCAGATTCTTTAGCTCAACTCACATATGTGAGCATTTCTATACAATAAAAAAGCATGCCATGTTGAACTGTATGTGAAGAACATTAACCTTGATATTTGAATAGCAGTTTCAGGTTGTTTTTTGTTTGTTTTTTTTTTCCTTTTTCCGTGCTTGTAGTGTTATGTGATAACTGAAGATTGAAATTGCAGCAAAAGACCTCCTGCAGATATCCAACTTCACTTTTTGTAAAGGGCACTGTAAATAATGCACAGCCAGAAATAAATCCTCTCTTAATTTCCCCCTAGTCCACCCCAAAAATACCTTTCTTAATGAACAAAAACTGCAATGTACCTTTAGTTCACACCACGTTTTGACCAACTGAACTGTCAGTCATCTAGAACTGAGTGTTTTGGCAAGCAAAGAGTTCCTCTGGATGACTTCACTAACGTGTATCTTTGAAAACAACATAGTGCTGAACCTGTGTGTGTGTTTGTGTGTGTGTCAGTGTGTGCCTGTGAGAGTCGGTTTTGTGCACATGAGTGACAAGATACAAGAAGGACAGGGTACAGAAACCAATGAAACATGGTAAATGTAGATGCCTGCATGTATTTCTCTGAGTGGATCTCAGTAAAGCAATATGAACATTTCTTATATTTTAATGTAGTTCATCGTTCAGGTTAGGGTTTAGGGTAAATTCAATTTCATGTGCATCAACGCCCCATTAGTTTTTCATAATCAAAAGAAATACAATGGAAAACACAAGTAAAATTATTACTTCAGTTAGCAGAGGTGATAAAACCACTGCCTCTATTCAAGGTACAGAATTTATTTTTCATTCCAAGACACTAAGCATAGCTCCTACATTTCCAAATCTTCACTTCTGTACTGCAGTCAACCATACACAGTTGTGTGAAAACACTGAAGCCTTCCTTCTGCATTAATTATCCTTCTACTGAATGATAGTAACTGTTTGTCTTTGGGAAAAATATAAAATTGATTTAAAAGTTTGGCATATATTTGACATTTTGCCTAACTGTAAAGCCTTCCCTAACCTACTCCACTGCCTTTGACAGAACATTTAATTTCAGATACTTCTGAAGAAGACGTGGGATGGTGTAGTTACCTGATGCAAATTAAGGTGTGGCTCTTTTTTTTTTTAATAAAAACAATCAAAGAGGAAAAAAAATAATCCAACAAACAAATCCATTCACTGTTACCTGCTTTTTCTAAAAAATGACAGGAGAAATAGTGTGTCAGACAGCACTTTCCTTTAAGTAGGAGCAAATCTGGTGCCCAAGCATGGCTTAGGGGGCACTGTGTTGCTGGCTGAACAATTTACAGATGAGATTGAAAACCAGATTCCTTCCACTTACAGCTGCTGAGGATCCTATAAGACTTCTCTAGGACAGGATCCTTGACTCTGCTATTAGGACAAAATGCCAGTCAAGGTTGTTGTACTTTGTCCAGTTTAATTCCTGAAGTAACTTAATTTGAGAACACTGTTTTTTATTACCCACATTAAAAGTGTTGTTTAGTGCTTTTATCCTGCAATGCAGAGACTGTAACTCAGCCACTTTGTTGGTTCATGCTATGCTAATTCATGGTAGTAGTTCTGGTGAACATATGCAAAGTTATAAAACAACTGGGGATAAATATCTTCAACATCCAAAATTAGTGTACCAGAGTGCATGTGTGCATGCCAGAGAAGCACAGTTGTTACTGCACCACTGCTGACATTCCTGTGACATTTCAGCCTTTATCTCAGACTGATAAATAAAACTTGAAAGGTATGAAAAATTCTGTTAACCAGAGCTCATGCTCCTGGTTAAGAACTACATTTCTGCTAATACAGTTAGTACTAAGAATTATCAGTCTTATCAGATTGAATAAAACCAGCTAAATACCAGTGAGTCATCTGTGCCATGCAGATGAACATGAGCTCCTATTTGGACAGATAACAGCTAGTTAGCCCTGGCAGACCTGTCCTGTAAAAGGACCTAAGCTAAATCAGCCATCATGACACCATGGGCCACAGTTGGCTTATAGGCAATGCAAAATAAAGGTGGCAACTGACACAGCAGGAAGGGGAGGAAATGCATAGCCAAAACCACCTACCAATATAAAATGATTGTATTAATAGAAAAGATTCTATTAATCTTCTCCTAGAGGAAGGATATAGATATGCAAAGACCACAAGAGGAAACCATATGAAAACTCCAACATTGCCAACAAAGTTTATGTGTAATCTAACATGTATATCTCACTAGCATTAATTATAGTGGAAAACTTATTTTCCTTGGTCAACAGTGTTGTAGTTTAAAAAGTGTCTATATAGGCAGTGATAAATCAGGGTAAAGTGTTTCAATTTAACCATATACTTGATGAGCACTCTGTAACTTCATGTATGGCATGAACATTGCATGACAAATATAGAATGAATATTACATGATACTGTTTTAAGGAAATACTGCAGAACCTAATACTGAAGTGTTAGTGTCTCCATTACTCTCCATTACTTGGTTTTGATTGATACAAAATTTCTGTATCCATTTCCAGCAAACAAAACTCCATGGAATTTGAAATTTCAAAGAATGGAAGCAGAATTTTTAAGAAGCTCCTGAATTGGGAGCAAAAAACCCCATGTATCCTATAAGGAAGAGCAAAGACTGGCTGAATGAGATTTTTTTTCCTCCAAAACCAGCTTTTATCAGACAAACTGTTAATACTGAGGTGCTTTAAATAATGTACCGTTACCTTTTTTTGGACTGGTTTTAATATGCATACAGAGAACCAACATATATTTAGAAGAAACCAGTTTGGTATTTGAAAGGAGTGAATAAGACTAATCTCCTATTTGGGGAATGTTTTTAGGGGGGGAATGAGTTGTTTTTTCAAGTTTGGTTTTTTGTTTGTTTTTTTAAATCATGTCTCTGTTCATTGAACCCAACCAGAAGAACACAGTTGTGTAACTCTGTAAGTCACTGATAAGCAACTTGTTAAGCACATCTGAAGTTCTCTTATAATGAAAATACGTTAAGCAGATATTTGAGGCCTGTAAGAAACGTGATTTTGCTTGATGGCAACTGTCATTTATATTTTTGTGGAATTAATTCAAACCTCAGCAGAGTTAAGGCTGGGTTTGTTATCATAGAGAAGACAAAGCATTATTTTACAATTATAAACTTTATTCCCCAGTCCTTATGAATTCCTTTAAGCAGACGTTCTTGTAAAGGGGTGTGTATTTAGGTCACAGACATACTTTTCCATTCTCACTTCACCTTACCTAGGTTTCAATATAATTTATCAAGTTCTTACATAGACAAATTTTAAAGGCTGTTTGTGAAGTGTGGTGTAAAAATACCCAAGCTAGCTAAGGTACTAGCTGCATTTCTACCATAAGACTCTAGCTGTCTGTGAGATTTTTTTTGGTCTTTGTGATACTGCACAGACTGTAATATTGAACCCTCAGATTACTTTACAAGAGGGATCAGTTGCATTGTCTTGACTTAGCAGATGGGCAGAGTGAGGCGGTAAGTCTATCAGGCTTTTCCTTAAGACAGTCTGTTGGATGTGGAAGTGGGGACTGCAGTGTCCTCATTCAGGTCCTCTGTCAGATGAGGACAGCGGACCAGGCATTGCAAATCAAACATCTTCAGGTTTTTCATGCACTTGGGGGGTCTTGAACTTTGATTGTTTTGAATCATTCTTTGGAGAAACCTGCCTCTCCCTGTTACTGATATTGAAGTACATGCTTAAGTGTAGATGCTCTAATTACTGCCCGTCATGTGGGCGCTATTCCTGTTGAAAACAATCAACTCTGTATTTGGTTGACTCCCAGTTTTGGTATTTCCAGGTATGTCACAGAATCATAGTACAGTTTGGGTCAAAAAGGACCCATCGAATCCAACCCTCCCCTTCCCTGCCAGGGGCATAGCCATCTTTCACCAGACCAGGTTGCTCAAAGCCTTGAGCCTTGAACACTGCCAGGGACAGGACATCCACAATTTCTCTGAGCAGCCTGTTTCAGTGTCTCCATCATGCACTGTATTGTTTCATAAATTTTTGCCATTGAGCCCTTACAGCCACAGTTATGGATGTATATATGGTTACACATACACACGTATATTCTTTGAGAAGGTACAAAGAAATAATTGTCAACTTTCAAAAAAATAAATACAATGCTTGATACTGTTAAAAGCATGTAAAAATTATTGGTCACATGTGGCATTAGACTGAGCTATTCTTTGACTCAAGTCTGCTTATGTTCACAGATGAGAATGTGCATTTCCATAACTATATTAAATTATTTATTTGAACTCTGTGATTAGTCAGCTTTACCAAATGAGTGATATACTGTTATACAAAAGTTATAAATTTGGATTTGAATTCTGTTTATTTCACATCTCACTCTTGTTGAGTGCTGGGAAAGCTGTGAATGAAAATCTTTTTGTTCAAGAGTCTATGAAGTGTCTTTCATTTTCAATAATTATACCTTATCCAGGAGAAATACTCTTGTTCTGTCTTTTACTTGTTAACAGCATTTCTGTGTTGGTTATAATGAGGCTTAAGCTGACACTTCAAATTGGAGCGGGGTGAAATTTCTCAGACTTGTATTTGGTTGAACTTTCAGTCATGTTCTGTTGTTGATGGTATGAAAATTGATAG